TACATAGGTTCATGTAAACTCCTGTTCATGCAGATAACCACAATCAGAACAACATTACAACCAATGATCAGAACATACAAACACAAAACAACTGTAAAATACACATATTTCACAACTTCAGAGTCCAAATAAGCAGCAAGAGAGAAAAATGTAGGCTGTGAGGAGTTTATCATCATCTTTTTAAATGTTAAAAAGCTTTTTATTTAGTTAAAGTGTGTGGTGTGAGTTAACATGTTGAACAGTTTAATACTGAGAAGCAGCATCTGTGTGTTGTCAGTCCTTCAGTCATGAGCCGAACCAGCTGCTGCTGTTGAAGCTGTCAGGACAGAAGAGCTTCATTAAAAACATGAACAACCTCCTCACAGTCAGTTATAACAAGATTATAACACTGACATGACCCCCCCACACCACATCACACCCCCTGTCAAACTGAGCTGACACTCACCTGCTGTTCTCTTATAAAACTCTGGGAGGACGCCTCCTGCAGAAGCAGGAAGCCATGAACACACCTCAGGCCCACCTGTTAGTAAAATAACCAGATGAAACCAATAATTGCAGAGGAAGCTTGAGACGGTGGTTGCCATGGTGAGAATAAACAGCCTCTGTGTGAAAACTACGAGTCAGATCAAAGAACTTCTTGGCCCATGAGCAGCAGGAGGTTCTGATGGTACCACAGGTTCTGTTTGTTGGTTCTACAGGGTTCTATAGAGAAGATATGAGTTGAAATGTGCCTCACTTCCTGTTTGAAGCCAGTGAGAGTGTGACCTCTGACCTCTGACTCCAGTCACTTTCAGAACCAAAGGTTCTCCACGTGTTCACTTTTTTCTTTACGATCTAAAGATAAAGTTGTTTGGAGCAACAGCAGCAACTCTCCTCTGAAGCACGGTGGTGGAGGTGTTGTGGTCATGTCAGTGTGTGTTTGGGTTTTGTGAGGCCTCGGTTCTCCTCTGTTAAGTTTTTATGTTGATAAATTAAATGTACAGTTTGAACAGTTTGTTTGTGGGCAGTGTTTATTTATTTCAGCTTCACGACTTTTCTACTTTCCTTTAGTGTTTTCTGCAGGTTTTATTTTATTTTTTATTGCAGCTGTGCCTACAGTGTAGTTTACCATCATCACTGTGTGAATGTGTGAATGTCTTTAAGTGTAAAGAGCTTTGTGGTCTGGAGGACTTGAGAAAGTGCTCTATAAGTTCAGTCCTTTTACCATGTAATATTAAAAATAAATGTATGTGAACAGCCGCTGGCAGGGGGCACCAGGAATTTTGGTGTTTGGGTTCTCAAGCTTTTCTCATAATAAAATCTGTTCTTATAGATTAACGTCCGTAATTTAGTCCAAACCAAACCATGAAACTAGATCATTTAAAAATCATCTGTGAGTTTAAGGCAAAGTAAGGTAGGATACTTGCTGTTTAAAGTTGTTTTTGTGATTTTGATTGGTTGAATTTCTGCAGTAATAAATATTTGAATTTTGTTGTCAGTTGGTAAAAAGTGAGAGACAGTACCAACAGACMTGCAGTGATGCTAACTGACATGTCATTAAACAGTTGCTCAGTTTTTCACTGCACAGGGAGGCTTAGGGCTGCTGCTGACTCATCTGTTTAGTTTGGTAACAGGWACAGGGACAAGTTATGAAGATTTWGCTAAAGATTCCCTTCACTGATTAAATGCTGGTGAAATGGAGGCTAACACTGTAGCTAAGCTAGCCAACAAGTTGATAATAACTAATGTAACCACTGTTAGAAATTGACACCTTTGGATTGTGGCTCTTTCTTCTTCTGTCCTTTTTTGAAATCCTGATTGTTTTATTTTTCTATGCAGCGGTCATTCTCTTATCTTCTACTGACTGCAGCTAAACACAGCGTTGACTGGGAGTGGAGACATTTAACTTTTACTGCCAAGTCAGGCCCTTTGAATGGTCCTAACTTTACTCCTACATACCC